TTTATACCTCCAAGTGAAGCTCTTCCCTCTGTAGAACTCAGATCCAAGGCTTGCACTCCAACTTCTAGCCTTCACGAGAATCTCCTCTTCTTCCTTACTAACACACAAAGGCACTTTAGCTCAAAAAACACTCACACAAGCTTAGAACGAAGGTTGGCTCTCTTTTAGGGTTTCACTCACTCAAATGGTGGCTGAGGATAAGGCCATAACCTTCTTTATATAGGGCTAAAGTCTAAATTAGGGTTTTGCATCTGGGCCGGTTACGCCCAGCGTAACCTTGGTACGCCCAGCGTACCTCTAAGGGTCCGCGTCCATTTCAAGCGCATGAGTATGCGCAGCGTACTCTTGAGTATGCCCATCGTACTCATTTGCTACAACTTTTCACTCAAGGGCTAACTTTGACAATTTGACAAAAGAGAAGGGTTAAATAGCTGTACCTGAATTTCGGGATGTTACAACAACAGGTTTTGGGAACCAGGTTAGAGCTCCAGTTAGGACTCAAGTTCAATTGAGTGTAAGGTTGAGTGCGTATTCGACCCGGTTTGGACAGTGTTGTAAGACTACGGGGGTAGCCGTAGCATTCACCAACATTCAGATAGTATGGGAAGTGTTGTAAGACTACGGGGGTAGTCGTAGCTTTCATTAACAGTCAGGTGGTATGGAAAGTGTTGTAAGATTGCGGGGGTAGCCGTAGCATTCACTAGCAGCAGATAGTGTGAGAAGTGTTGTAAGTCTGCGGGTGTAGCCGTAGAAGTGGCTAATCAATGTCTGTGTGGAGCCTTTTGCGTCGTCTGGTTGTGCGATCGGAGAGGAGGTGCTCCGATTATAGTCTGGATGAAGGTGACACAAGGAGGAAGACCGGTGGTGGAGGGAGGAGCAGTCGACGGTCGGAGCGTTGAAGAGAATTCGATGGAGGCGTGAAGAAAAAAGAAACAGAAACGTGTTTTTTTTAGGTTAAGCACTTGTGAATACCTTAAAAGTGGCTAGTCAATGTCTGTGTGGTGAATATCTCGCGCAGACCTTTTTAGATTTACACATTTCGAAAAAACAAACAGTTTGCAAGGATATACGTATGTATGTGCTCTGCGCGGCGTAGACAAAAGTGATTGTGCATATCTGCAGCCAAAAAACAAACACCCCTTAGAGTAGGGAAATATTTTGGACTATTCTTTTTTTTTTTATGTTAAAAATAAAATGGGATTGCAATAAAAAGTTTATTTTAAATAAAATTTTGAAAGTCGGAGGACCCAAAACTCAAAATCTTCGTAGTCCCCAATTCTCTTGTCTTGCACATAAAGACATCGAATAAGAACTTCAAATCCCCGTTGATACACGAAAGCTATAACCTTCCAGATTTTCCGATCTTGAAAAAAGCAAGATTCTTGAATGGCGTCTGTGGAGGTAGCGATGAAACCAGCGGATTCAGGTGATAGAGACGAGAGCTGTTCATCGAGGCCTACAACAGCAAAAGCAGGTGAAGGTTTGAGGCAGTATTACTTGCAACATATCCACGATGCTCAACTCCAGGTTCGCCAAAAGGGTCACAATCTCAATCGTCTTGAGGCTCAGCGTAACGAGCTCAATTCTCGGGGTAGGTTTTTCGAATTCCCTAAATTGGTTTTTAGAAGTAGAACCCTAGGGGTAATTCATTTGAAGTCAGATGCTACTGTTGTGTTGTAAATTCTTATCGCGTTGAGGTCTTTGTGTGTTCTTGAGTATAATTCAGAATCGCGGTGAGTATCAGCGCAAAGAGGTCAATTCTTGAATTAGTTCTTAAACAATTTGAGGATTTTAAGAAAACACTCAGATTATTTGATTTGGATTTCAAATGTGTTGATTGATCTCACCATCTCCATATTACTTTTGTTGCTTGTTGAGGTAACCCGTTGTTAAGAAGTAAATGACCATTATCCATGGTAGAACGTTTGTTCTCTTGTGTTCATCAGTTGCAATGTTGTCTGTGTACAAGGCAATTTCACTGAACTTAGTATGAATACATTGCGTTTCAGGCAACTTATTTTACCTTTTATTTATCAAATTACAGTCAGGATGCTTAAGGAAGAGTTGCAGCTGCTTCAAGAGCCCGGATCTTATGTTGGTGAAGTTGTCAAAGTGATGGGAAAGTCAAAAGTACTAGTCAAGGTTAGAAGATGATGTTATTATCTGTTTTTATGCTTCTTGATATGTTTATACACTAATCTTTATATTGGGTTTTTACTCATTTTATTGCAGGTGCATCCAGAGGGTAAATATGTAGTTGATATAGACAAAAGCATTGATATTACTAAAATAACCCCATCAACAAGGGTAGCCCTTCGCAATGACAGCTATGTTCTCCATTTGGTTTTGCCAAGCAAAGTTGACCCTCTGGTCAACCTTATGAAAGTTGAAAAAGTTCCTGATTCTACATATGACATGATTGGTGGGCTAGATCAACAAATTAAAGAGATTAAAGAGGTTTGCTTAAGTTTCCTTTTTGCATTTCTTGAGCTTCAGTTTTCAACTATTCTGTCATTTGATAATTGATCCCGTTATTTAAAGGTTTAAATGCACATTTATGCAATAATGTTTCACCCTTTTCCCAAATTATTCTAAAAATTTCAGGTGATAGAACTTCCAATCAAACATCCTGAGTTATTTGAGAGTCTTGGAATTGCTCAACCGAAGGTATCTTTATATTTAATATCTCATGGTGCCACATAAGCATTTATATTATTATTCTATTAACTCTCTTTTTCTAACTCTCTTTCTTTCTCTCTCTAGGGAGTTTTGTTATATGGGCCACCTGGCACAGGAAAGACTTTATTGGCAAGAGCAGTTGCACATCATACTGATTGTACCTTCATTAGGGTTTCTGGTTCTGAATTAGTACAGAAATATATTGGAGAAGGGTCTCGAATGGTGAGAGAACTTTTTGTTATGGCCAGGTTTGCACCCTCATCTACTCTATTAGGATTTTTTGGCCCTTGGAACATTGAAATAAGAGTAAATTACACAAATGGTCCCTATGGTTTGGGGTAATTTGCGTGTTTGGTCCCTAAATTATTTTTTTAACTCAGAAGGTCCCTACTGTTTGTTTTTATTACGCGCTTGGTCCCTACTGTTTGTTTTTGTTACGCGCTTGGTCCCTGTCTTACCTAAAAAGACTATTATTTAAATAGGAAAAAAAAGGTGGGGTAGGTAAGGTAAGGTGAGGGGGTGGGGTGGGGTTGGGGGTGTGTTTATTTAAATAAATTAAAAAATCAAAGGCAAAATAGTCTTTTTAGGTAAGACAGGGACCAAACGCATAACAAAAACAAACAGTAGAGACCTTCCTAGATAAAAAAAATAAGTTAGGGACTAAACACGCAAATTACCCTAAACCATAGGGACCATTCGTGTAATTTACTCTTGAAATAATGACTGAAATCGATATTAAACCTTGAATGTTGAAATATTAATGGAATAGGGAACATGCTCCATCAATCATATTCATGGATGAAATCGATAGTATTGGGTCTGCTAGAATGGAATCAGGAAGTGGGAATGGTGATAGTGAAGTACAAAGAACAATGCTTGAGCTTCTCAATCAACTCGATGGATTTGAAGCATCAAACAAAATCAAGGTACTTTTTGCAACGCCAATTCAAGATTTTATAAAGATTGGTGTCCAATATTTAATTATTATTATTATTATTTTTTAATGTTTGAAGGTTTTGATGGCTACAAATCGTATTGATATCCTGGATCAAGCCCTTCTCAGACCAGGAAGAATTGATAGGAAAATTGAATTCCCAAATCCCAATGAAGATGTTAGTGTCACTATCTCTCACCTACTTTCTTTCATTTTTTATTTCATTTTTTATTTAACACAAACTTTTTTTTTCTTATTTATTTATTTATTTATAGTCACGGTGTGATATTCTGAAAATTCATTCAAGAAGGATGAACTTAATGCGTGGGATTGATCTGAAAAAGATTGCTGAGAAGATGAATGGTGCTTCGGGTGCTGAGCTGAAGGTCAATTCGTGACATTAATTTGAATTTATTTAATTAATAAAATTAATGAGAAACTATTTTTATTATTTTTATTTTGTTTTGTTTATAATATAGGCGGTTTGTACGGAAGCTGGGATGTTTGCTTTAAGGGAAAGAAGAGTTCATGTAACACAAGAAGATTTTGAGATGGCAGTTGCTAAAGTTATGAAGAAGGAAACTGAGAAAAACATGTCACTTCGCAAGCTATGGAAGTAATCTAATCTAGTCCTATGTGTTTGTCTGTATGGAGCTCTTAATGAAACAAGAACATGTCTTTTCTACCTTAATTCCATCAAACTAAATAATCAGACTTCATATCTTTGTTTTTTTTTTTTTTAAATTGTTTTGGACTACTAAAGATTTACTTTATATTTGCATCTGAAACTGTTAAAAGTTGATCCTTTGAAAACTAGTAGTTGATCTCTGGGAATTGTTTAAATTAAAACCTCTTTTTTTTTTCTCTTCCCTAAAAGCTTTAATTACACGTGACTGAATTGGATGGAGCAAGTTCTTATTTCAATTTTGTTTAGGACTAAAATTAAACAAACATGTCTCATTTGACTAGTTCAATATCTAATTTTGTTTCGGTTTTATTCACTCCGAATGCTGCCTAAAGGAGACTTGTTATCTTATGCTATGTTCAATCTCATGTTCCACAATAAATTTAGTTATTATTTATACATTATAATTTCCAAAACTTAAGATCCATAAAAGAATATATTATATTTCGGAAAATTTTGACTAAACAAAAAGTACATTTAGGACCAACTTTATATCCAATTAAAAGTGCATTCTAGATTCTGCCTTTTGGCTTTTTATACAACATATTACTTAAATTGCAATTCGGGACAACTAATTCCACCACTTATTCAGTAAAATAATGGTTATGCATTTTCGCTCAAGTGTTTTAAACTGCCAAAGTAACGTATGCAAACAAAGAAAATAGTTTTATCGTAGATGCTAGTGTGATATTTAAGCTAAGTTTTCAGTTTCTTGGAATGATAAAAACATATGCACGCATTGCTATGGTTGCCCATGTAATCTAGATAAGGATGTAGATTTTGGATATTTTGAGTGATATGATGAAAAACTACCTAATATTTGGTACAAAGCGAAATTTATTGAAATGTTGAAACGGTTGAGTAAGAATGTAAGATGATTGAGCAAGATCCAAGTGGACCGAATGTGCAAAATTCAATTGAAGCACACGATAGTAGTATAATGTTTATGATTGATGTTTTGATTATTACTTTTGTGGCTTTCAAACATTTTTTGTTTTAGTTATTTTGATGATGTTTAAGACCAAGTGTGTTACCCTAATTAGTTGAATGTCATTATAATATGTTTGTAAGGTTAATCTATCCTTTTGTATTATTTCAGTGTGAGAATGTGAATGAAAACAAATGATATGTTAGTGTTCAAAATATGTTACATAATGTTTTATTAGAAATACGTAATTAAACTACAGGCCTGCAAAACTTCCAAACTACAAGACTAATAATGAACTTCAAACAATTATATGTAACTTTCAATTAATTTATCGGTATTATCAGTTAATACAATTCGCTCCCAAAGTAGTGGAGTCACATGTTTGTCTTCGATTCTTTCAATTGACTTGATGAACTCTTATATATCTTTAAACATCATAGTCAAGAGCATTGTCATACGATGAACCACTAGTTTTCAAAGCTAGTTGGTTTCCAAGACCAATAATGAGGTCTCTATGTTGTGTAATAACTCTCGTGCACGTTTAAAACAAGAAATGGTAGCGTTGTCAACAAAACTTCGTTGTCTAGCCTCTATGCATTCCACTTCACATTGTAATTATAAAGACGATGCAACAGTGGATGTTTTCAACTCTGAAAAAACAATATGTTTTAACAACTATATTGTTCAAAAACATTTTACTGCATAAAACGCTTAGTAATTCGTGGAATTGTAGACATCGAATAACACAATCTAAAACTAGACTACTCTAAAATAACAGTCTTATCAAGACTTACCCAATCATAGTTTTAGAAGTATCGTCTATTTTAATTTGAGTTTTAAAACATTTTCTAACATTCGGCTTTATTATATATAGATTCCATTTTGTTTCCATAACGGATGCTTCTCTTTACAAATAAAAGTTAATTATGATATAATATAAACACATTAAATTATAAATATAATATATAGATATAACATATCATTTATCCGATTCAAGTCTAATTTTGACATTTTCAGAAGGTGAGTTATTATCTCCCCATCTATATAGAATACCTTTCTAAACAACACCAATTCATAGTGATCAGGTCCATCATAACAGTCTTCGTTTCGTAATTGTATAAGTTTCTATTTTAAAATATTCTTTTATTTTGGTTTGTATAGTTTGTATAGTTTGTATTTATTTAACAAAAATAAACAATTTGCTAAAACATAATACAATAAGAAGTTTGTTCATATTTAGTCATTGAACTTTTTTAGAGGGAAACAAACTTTTGATTTTGTTCACATTTAGTCACTAAACTTTTTTTCATTATCTATTTGCCACTGAATTATTGAAACTGTTCACATTTTACACTTATGACCGGTAACAACCGGTCATAAGGGTAAAATGTGAACAGTTTCAATAGTTCAGTGGCAAATAGATAACGAAAAAAAGTTTAGTGATTAAATGTGAATAAAGTCGAAAGTATGTTACCCTTTCAAGTCATTATCCATTTCATAATTGTTTTCGGTTACGAACCAAGTTTATCTTTTAGAGTTTGAAATTGATATTTCTTGGCTTTATAACCCAACTACAAATTTAAGTACAACATGAATAACCTAAATACAACAAAACACACACGACAAACCAATTTTATCAAAAAAAACTATAAAAAATTCAGAATAGTATGTCGCGTTACAAACTGACTTTATGCATTTTAAACTGTGATTTTTGGACTTTGTAACAACAATAGTGAAAATATAAAAACGTAAAAAAAAACATGGTTCAACATATGTTCCTCTATCTACGAATCCTCGTTTCTTGTCGTCAGAATTTTTAAAAAAATCCAAACCATCCATACGGAATGTGGGCAAGAGGTGTCATATTCTCTTTATATAGGAGAATTACATAAACGGATAAAGATCCGTTATTGGATCCGAACCATTTCGTTCCGGATTTGATGATTATTTTTAGGGGAAAATGACGCAACGGCCCTATTATGTATTTCGACTTTACCCTTTCAGTCCCTAAAATTATATTTTTGCCTTTGAAGGAAACAAAGTTGATGTCAACCTGCTTTTTTTGTCACTTCGACCTAATATACTAGGTTACATGCATTTAAAGTTGACGTACCTTCACTCTATATGATTTGACATGTTTTTATGACATGTTTTTAGTAAAAAAAAGAATAATAAAGTTTGGGCCTCTCTCTCTCTCTCTCTCTCTCTCTCTCTCTCTCTCTCTCTCTCTCT